TTATCCTACTGAAAGCTGGTACTTCACAGGCAGAGAATAGCTGGCAGAGCAAGCCAGCCAAGTCATGGGGTGGGAAAAATGTTGGTTTTGCATGCCATTCAAGAGAGTGACCCCAGTACTGGAATTGAGCATTCAAGCCAGCAGTTACATGGAGGAGATTAACCCCTGCTGAGCCACCTACTCCACTCCAGGCCCCATAGCACTGAAACCAAAGGAAGAGTGCCTCCATGGCCCCACTGGGTTATTCACACCATTCTCTACCAACAGTGCCTAAGACTGCATGGGAGTCAGTTACTTTTGGAGGTTCCCCCTTATTAACCTACCTGGGGGCATGACTACATGGCTTCTCTCCAGCTCCATGTCTACCACTGACAAAATAAGCCCCGCCTGGGGCTGCACTCAGACGCTTTATCTCAGGAGAGGTTGGGAGTTGTGAAAAGAGAGGGGGCTCAAGTTCTGTCCGAGTCATTCCTGAACCTCTGCTCTGACTAATCATAGATCTTAGAGGAACTGGAACAGGAGCAAGCAAGCAGGATTTATTTTATCAGCCGCAGCTTGGAGTCAGGAGGAAAGTTTCGTCCATTCACCCAACCTCACCGCAATGCCATTTTTCAGTTGAGGAACGTTTGGCCTTTGGGCTAATAATAGAACGGGTTTGCTGTCACCCGAGTTCTTTCATTCTTCTGGTGCTAATCCTAATAGGATGCTGCTTTGGGCCTGTCATAGCAGTTTCTTCTCAATGTTGCCTGCAGTCAGCCCAGTGAAAAACAAGATTTGCCAATATGGTAAGGAAACCGCTAACATGGAAAGAAAAGTGCAAGAAGCAAGGATTTCTTTAGATGATACCTTTTAATAGACCAACTGCATAGTTGGGATAGAGTTAGACATTAGATAAGCTTTTGAATGCAAGACATTCACCTTCATAAAAGTGCACACTTCACCTGACCACCAAGAATGCACTAAACTAGACAACAGGATTGTCTGAGCCAAAAACATGTAAGGGGCAGGGGGGGAACTGCTGCCAGCACTAGAGGTGCACCGATACATCAGTCCATATCATAACAGCACCAATAAAAGGAAAATTGACATTATCGACAGTTGGCCTTTTTTGGCCAGTGTGGGCAATGATGTCACCAGTAAATGCCGCATACATGTGCACAGCCTGGAATGCAGCCTGGCACCTTGGAGAGCAGCATTTGGCTAGAGGTGTCCTTGCCCCCATGTGCAACATTGGCTGGAGTCATGCACTCCTCCCCATGGTGTATAGTCCCCACTGCTAGCAAGAGCAGCACGTGGCACGCTCTCATGACCTGTGCAGGCACTGCCACCCAGCAGTGCACAACTCCAGCCAACATTGCACATGGGGGCAAGGACCGCAGCCCAGCCAGCACACCTCTATTGCACAAGGCTCAGTGTGGTACATGTGAAGATCTTGGCGCCACACACCATCAGGGCAAGCCCCATGCAATGGAGCTGGCTACCTTCTCCACCCCTGCCATGCAGATTCTGGGACTCTGCTGCAAGTGGCAGGGAGCCCCACTCCTGCTTCCTGGCCCTACACAGCAGAGGGCAGCGAAGGCAGCTGACCCCAGCACATGGGGCTTCCCTCAACGGTGCATGAGTGCAGGAGCTGCACATGCATCATGTGGAACCCTGTGCAATAAAGGCAGGCTGGCCTGGCTGCTCTCCTCATCCCCATGTGCAGCACTGGGTGGAGCCACACCCTGCTGGGCGGCAGCACCTGTGCAGGCCACGAGCGCCCCGAGTGCCTGTTGCCTGCTGCCACTCACAATGGGAGCTGTTTGCAAGGGGGGGCAATGTATGAGGGGGGCCCCACACACCCCCACCCCGACCCTCACGCTGCCCACCCAAGCTTCACACTCCTGCCGTCCCCCTGGGTACAGGCTTCACACTGCTGCCAGCCCCACACTCTGTGCTCCCACCCTGCTGCAGCTCCCCTCATCCTCTACCTCCACCGCTTCCTTATCTGGTGCCTGGAGCAAGCAGGATGCCGGGGAAGCTGAGCAAGTCCCCTGGCAGCTACAGCAGTGTTAGCTGCAGCCTCGCCCAGAAGCTACTTGCTGTCTGGCTTGGGCCTTTCCTCCCACAAGGGTGGGAGTGAGACACGCAGGCTGGGTGGGCTACATTTAGTTGCTGGGTGCCCCTGGGCCAGATGAAATTGCCTGGTAGGCCAGATGTGGCGTGTGGGCCGAATTTTGCTTGCCCTTAGTTTACACAGACCTCCAGCAGGTGCTTGCACTGATATAGCAGCAAGCTCAGAGCTCTCTGTGCATGCATGGGACAGCCAAAGTGTGGGGCTACCCTTTCCCCCGCTTACCCATTCCTGGATCAGTTACTGCATGGTGCATCACTGCCTTGCCTCTCTTGGACAGAACTAACTTCAACATGGGAGGGGAGTAACCAGGAAACCTAGCAGCAAGGGTAGCATAATTTTTCAAGCACATTGTGTCCTTTGGACCAGTGCTGTTTTTCCTTTTAAGGTCATGAGCTTTCCTGACTCTGAGCTGAGAAAGAAATAGCAAACCCTGCAGCTGTGTAGGGGTTTGGACTAGATCAGAGGTGTCAAACATACGGCCTGTGGGCTAGATCCAGCCCACGGAGCCTCTCCATCTGGCCTGTAGTTCTACTACTGAGCTAGGGAAGTTTGGGGCATGAATGGGGGGAGCATGTCCCACTGCTGAATTTGGAGTCCCCATTCCCCCATGCACATGGCCCTCAGCAGCAGAAGGGTGGGCAAGAGCTGTGTTGAAATAGCCCCTTAACCCTGTGGCTGCTCAACAAGTTGCCTTTCATGTGAAAAGCAGTCATTTGGCCCATACGTTTGTCATACCACCTCCACCATTGCACCATTCCTCAGGTTAGATCTGCTGCTGCCCAATGCCCTAGACTAGGCCCAACCTATGAGGAGCCTCATGGTTGTGATCGAACCCAGGGTAATCTAATGATCCTCAAGGGCCCCTCCACACTCTCTTCCTAGCAACTAGAAGTGTGTGGATCAGGTAGGAGGGGTTGTGTGACAGTGATTGTAAACGTATCTCCCACTGTAATCTCCCACAATATCTCCCACAATAATGATGACTCTATGGAAAGTTCATGCCCATTAGCTTTGACAGAAACTGAGCGCATCTACATGAGATGCTTTACTCAAGATGAGAGCTAATTCCTACTCAGTAAATGTCACCGTCTACATGTGCAAGCATTTACTGCACAGTAATTTGCTCTAATTGTGAGTAAATTTGCTACCTTCAAATGCAAATAGCAAATTTACCCTCGATTACTTACTACGCAGTAGGGCAAATGTGCTCGGACAGCAGGGGGTGGGAGATTGTTCCCTGCCCCCAGAAGTTACCTGCTGCCAGGGTGGGCTCCACCAATGGAGTATGGGTGGGGACTATGTGCCCCTGCTGTGACAGCAATGAGCTCCTTGCCCCCACTTCACAGTTGCAGGGTTCAGGCTGGGAGATCCTATGTCCCAGCTCCAGCTCCGCAGTCATGGGGCCAGTGCTGGGAGATTCTTCTCTCCCAGCACCAGCTCCACTGTCACAGGGCTTGGGCTGGGAAATAAGGATCTCCCAACCCAGGACCTGTGACAGCAGATTTTGGACTAGCAAATAAGGATCGTCCAGCCTGGGCCCTGCGACTCCTGGGAGCTCCCTGCTGCTGGGGCAGAGGGACATTGCCCCACCCAGGCTCCAGTGGCAGAGGTGCCCCTGGCAGCAGGAAACTCTTAGCATCAGAGAGCAGCGTCTGAGCCCCACCAGGAGACAGCTGTCTCCTGGCTCATGCTTCCTGCTAGCCCCTGGGCTAGCACCCTGGAGGAGCCTACAGCTCCCCCTGGCTGCTGCAGGGGCATGGTGCAGGACCACAGGGAGTGGGAGCAGTATACTGCTAAGAGCAGCAAATCTGCTTCTCCATCCCTGCATGTGTAGATACATGCCCAGGAGAGTTTACTTTAGAGTAAACTGTTCCTGGATTATTAGCACATGTAGATGCACCCACTGGGAAGCATTTGATAGGATTTGGAAGCAAAATACTGCACTTCAATATGTCAGACTCTGGCTTTAAAAACTATTAATAGCACAGTGGAAGCAAATAGCAAGAAGAATTCCAGACAACTCTTCTGTCTTACACCTCCTGCTGCCAGAACCACCACCTAGTGTTAGACCCAGACTTCTCCTGAGATTTTGAAATGGTTGCAGATAGTTTCCCTTAACTTTTCTTTTCCTAATGGGACAGAGGGAGAGCCATGTTAGTCTGAAGTCAGGCAGACTGCAGAGCTGGGTGGCACCTTAACACTAAATACTAACTAAGACTAGTCCATTCACGTCTGATGAAGTAGGCTGTTGCCGATGTAAGTTTATGCCTTTCCAAACACATTACTGTAAGGCAGGGGTTTTCAACCTGTCTCTACAATGGCCGATTGGCATGGCGGCAGCAAAAGTGCCGGTGGCAGAAATGGTGATGGCACTGACGGTAGCTGCTGAGTACCCCTGAGGCCTTCTCAAGTACCCCCAGGGGTATACATACCCCCGGTTGAAAACCCCTGCTCTAAGGTGCTGCCCAGCCCCACCTTCTGCTTAAAGCTTTTCTAATGAGATTTCTATCCAGACCGAGACAGGAACAAGATCGGGGTGGAACACACTCTCTGAGTATTTCCAGTGCAACTTTGGAGATGTCAGCCTTGGAATGCAGTGACTTCTCATTTTGAAGGTGCTTCTCTGGACCTTGACACCAACCCCCTCTACAAGCACCTACCTCTTCCTTTCCTGCTCATGGTTTTTTTGCAGGAATAAACATGACATCTACTGAACTAGTAAATGACTGAGCACTATTCAGGGAAATAAGATCCAATTGTTCTAGTGCCATGGCAACCTAAATTAGTCTCATCATAACAACAATATATTTTTCTAAAAGGTTTGTGTCCGGCTTATTTCATCCTGTGCCATTAACCCTCCCCTGTGTTTCTTTCTCTCTTCCAGACAATGGGTACAGAGAATGCCTTGCAAATGGGAGCTGGGCTGCCCGCGTCAATTATTCCCAGTGCCAGGAGATCCTCAATGAGGAGGTACATGCACACTGGCCATTCAAATTGGCCAGGCCTGTTTTATGGAATTGGGAGAAGGGGAGTAAGGAGGAGGAAGAGGAAGTCAAGGTTTAAAAGAAAATTCAAGGCTTTGTGACAAGCTTAGTTCAAGGAAGTTTGATAAAAGTCATCACTGATAGGACTGGTGTCTTTATGATGAAGCTTAGCAAACTTCAAGTGAGTGTCAGGGGACATTAGTAACGCTTCACCTTGTAGTGGGTTCTTAAGAGCAGGACTTGAACCTGAGACCTCTGTATCATAAAGTAGAGATCTCTTCTGCTGGAGCAAAAAGGTCAACTCTTCTAATTTTGAGTTCAGCAAGCAAATCTACCCCACTAAGTGGACCACTTATTCCACTAAAGCAGGGCTGTCAAACATAAAGCCCACAGGTTGGATTTGGTCCACAGAGCACTGTCATCTGACCCACAGGGATTCTGGAGGGGCCAAGAACTCAGGGGTGGGGTGAGTGGAGAATTCATGGTACAGAGTCCTGCTGGGGGTGCATTTCTGTGGCAGGAGTGAGTGACAATTGTGTTAACCCCCAGAGATCTCTGATGCCACTGGGCAACTTTGTCTTGTAGTTAGGATAGTTTTAGTCCCCTCAGAATTGCACTTCTCAGCACAGAAGATTTTTGCCAAAAATAAAATCCAAAAAATACCCCACCTCCAATTTACTCTCAGTTCCTTGGTAACTAGCATAAGATAGTGATAGACATTACCTGTTGATAGGTGTTGGCTTGTGTAGACTGAGTGAGCTCGTTCTCAGTTCAGGTCCCTCTGGATGTTCTTCCACGACAGATGACACCAAGCAAATGCCTTTGTTAGTGTCAAAGATGCTGAATGGGGATGTGCAGGTTGATTGGAATGCTGGATGGCACCGAGTGTCAGAGGTACTAGCCAAGGCCATGCACTATCACTTAATAAAGGGGAAGAAAAAAGTACAAAGAGCAAAATATAACAGTGTCTTGTAAGTGTGCCGTCATCCATAAAGCCACAGGCAAAGGTTCCAAGAATTAGGGAGGCAGTTGGAACTATATGACTTCTCCATGTCCTCCCAGTTCCAGACTGCTGTAGGGGCCCAGGCAGCTTTAAATTACAGCAGCCTGCCCACATCTAATCGTGACTTGTAACCCCTTCCATCCCATCTCCTGTATACCACCAGCAGATTCTCTGTGCATTGGGTTTTGGAGGTTCGGAGATGAGAGTGGAGCATGATAGACATTGCAGCCAGGCAGAGGGAGGGGAGATCCTTCCCAAAATCTCGGGTCCAGAAAGGGCTGTTACACTTCTGTAGACCATCAATTCTCAAGGTTTTTGGTCAATAGATCACCGCCAGCCATCAAAATTTCTTGCAGATCACAATACATGTTTATCATCAAAAAGTATAATGGTGTGATGAGTCCCGTGCAGTCTTTGGAGCAGCTGTTGCCCACATATCATGGTCTCACAGGTCACCAGTGGACCTTTGACCACAGTTTTGGGAGCTACTTCTTCAACCTGTCCCCTGCATAACATAAACTAGAGAATGTCATCCTTGGTGCTGAGCCCGTCCCTGGTGGTTGAGCTTGAATGATATCTCAGCCCCAGTGTGATGTCTCAGCTCCAAGTGTTAGAGAAGCAACTCTGCCCAGGGGTGAACCCTCCTTTTAGCCCATTAACTTCCCTTGTTAAAATGTGTACCTCTGCTTTCCAGTTTGAAATATTCTGACTTACACGCACAGCTGTTGGCTCTTGCCTTGCCGCTCCCTGCTGGGTTAAAAAGCCCTCTGGCTTCATAAATCACGTCTTGTTCCTCCTGTTTCTCTTTCTTATTTCTAAAATGAAATAGAGAGTACAAAGCAGGGTGAAAAGGTTCTTCTGTTCCTGGTAGTTGCTGGTGCTGCATGCTTATGGGTAACTGGAAAACGGGTGATACAAGGGAGTGTTTGTGACAGGGGACATAAAGGGAGGAGAAATGAATTTTGCAGGAACCAAGAGAGTTGTAACTATGCTGACCTTGCCCCTTGGAAAAGGGAGGGAAAATGAAGGGTGGATATTTGCAGCTGATAACTCTGTCTGGCATTTATTACACTGACATTTCTTGCCAGGAATGGCTTTCTCACCCAGTTAATCACTAATTCACAGATTGGATGAGTGCCTAACAGTAGGAGGAATCAATTAATGTAATTACCACGCATGCCTTCCCAGGATCCCCTGCTTAAACCCACCACCAACCCTCTCTCCTGCCCCCCTAGAGAAAAAAGGAATTAATTGAGACATCGGATGTATTAGGCTTCCAGGTAGCTTCACAATATTCTAATTAAACAAGAGACCTCTGGGATTTTCCATATAATGGCTTCACAGAGGTCGCTTCACTGAGGAGAACTACTCTGAGCACTACACAGTTATCTAAGCTATTAGTCCCCCTTATTGAAGTGTGCACAGACAAGCCCCATGAAGGGGAGAAGACACTTAGCTCTAGACTGCAGAGGCTTGGTTACCAAGGGCATGTCTATACTATAGCAATAGGGTGCTCAGTCACATCACTGGGGAAATAAGCCCTTCCCACCCACCCAGACCCCAGCATATCAACCCAGAGGGCACATCTACATGAGACCTTTACTGCAGAGTAGACTAATTAGCTCCTCAGTAAATGTCTCGTGTCTATACATGCGGCCCTCTTAGGCTGCAGGAAATGAGCTCCCCACAGGGTAGTACCTGTAAATACAAGTACTATCCTGCTGCAGAGTTTATTTACTCCACAGCAGCGCACATGCAGACACTGATGTGGCTTGCTGGGGCACCAGCTAGCCCTGCACCGTAGCATCTTCGTGCCTCACCCAGGCCCTCTGCAGCAAGTTGAGCTGAGTCAGAGTGGCCCAGCTCTTGGGTGGTGCTCTAATTAAAATGCCCACAGCATCTCATGTATTCAGTGTCCAACATGTCAAAATGGCAGCCGGGGCATCTCTCTTTAACTAAAGCTCGTTCGACGGGCTTCAGTTGAAGCATCCCCATTGCCATTTTGACATGCAGGGCGTTGAATATACGAGATGCTGCAGCACACTGAAGCATTGATTAAAAGACTCCAGCAAACTCTAATTGAGTCTGCCCTGACATGTACTATCAGAACGTGTTGAAGCACATGTTAACAGTGCCCTAAGATTGTGGGTAAAGTTTTCAAGAGCAGCAAAAATGCTAGAGTACCTCAAGTTTCGGGGTTCTCAGTTCATATACCTGGAGAAAGTTGGATTTTCAGAATGTGTTGAGGCATACAGCCTCCAAAAATAAGGCTCCTTGCAAGCATCTCAGTCAGAGCACCACAAATTCAAGGTGCTCCAAACCACTACTGATTTTTGAAAATCAAGCTAGTATTTTGTTTTGTTCTTTTAACGTTCCAGGGTGGTAGCAGTAAAACAAGGAAGGAGCTTTTGAAAAAGGCAGTCCTGATTCTCACTGACAATCGGGCCACTATGCATGCCTTTGGCTTTGGTAAAAGGGTCTTGAAGTGAGAACAAATGCTGTTTACACTACCTTTGGACCCTTTTATGCTACCCCTATAGGGGGCATTTCTGGGGCTGAGAATTTATTAGGGCCATGGCTGTCTTGAGATTGTCCCTTTTGGGCCCTGTGATGATTCTCTTCATGATGTCCTTGCTGGGAATTTTCTTTTCTTTGTTTTCACCTCTTTCTTAAAGATTTAATAAGAAGACATTTAAACCAAGAACCCTCCAGCAGGGCTGAGATGCGATCAAGCAGAAGCTCATATGCACATTCTGTATCTGATGCCTCATCTCTCTCCTAAACCATCATGGTAAACGTGTACCATGCAGGAAAGCTTCTTGTCCTCCACCCAAGTTTCCCCCCAGGTATGGGGTGATCCACAGGTGATCCACAGGCAGCCAGGGGGACAATGCAAAAGATATAGAACCACTGAATTAAATCTTAAGGAGGGTATCTATGGGAAGAAGAGGCGGAAGGAAACCAAAGCAAGGTGTTCAGAGGAGACAGGGTAGAGAACCCTAGTGTAAAACTCATATGATACTTGCAGGCCCTCATTCTGTTTGTGTGCTGTCTTCCTCTATCCTGCACTGTCTAAAAAGACTGGGAGTCACTGGGGATAGAGACAGTGCCTCAGTAGCATAATGCCAAGATCTTTCTTTAGGCAACTTCAGCACACTTTACAAAGGAGGTCAGCAACATTATCTCTGTTTTTTGGAGGAGTCCTGCCACCAGGATCATAATAGAGACAGGGATGGAGCAGGGTTCACTCTTCTTTTCACCAGCCAGATGTCTAAATGCTGTCTGACCTAAGGGAGCCTTGGTTTTGGAGAAGGCTGTAGGTGCTACTGAATAATTGCTTACCATTGTAAAAATTGAGCAAGGCTTTGGGAGTTGTACGTCCATGCATCTAAGCACTAACTGCTCTCCACATATCACCACCAGCCATTCTGTATAAATAACTTCTGCCTCTGTCTTCTGGTCTCCCATGCTGCATGACCTCTTCTCCTTTGGCAGCAGGACTTTCTCACTGATTTTTTTCCTCATGTCCCTCCCTGTGGTCCTGGCATTAAGAATTGTCCTAGGTGCCCATGGGAACAAGAAGAATGCTTTCTGAACAGCTGTGGGGAAGAAAGGGTACTTGTAGTAAGCCATAAATCTGTGGGTTGCCCAGCTTCCTGCCCCTGCAACCTAGGATGCTGGCCAGGGAACAGGGCACTGCACTGGATTCTCCTAGATGGTGAGAGATGCATTTGGCGCTTCAGTAAAATGCCCAGTATCCAGCCCCACTGTAAGGGTTTCAAGAGGGTGTGACATGCAATGGCTCCCAGATTTCAAAGGCAGAAGGAAAGGGCATTGCTGAGCACATGTCCAGATCACCTCCACACTACCCAGAAGTGCTGCCACCCTCAGTTTCCCCAAAGAAGCTGACAAGGCCAAAGTCATCAAGGCTTGGGAAGGTTCTTCGAAGTCTGTAGCTCTGAACCACCGTGGTCCTTCCAACTGGGGTTTCTCACAAAGCCAGCAAAAGCATGTGATACCAGGGAAGACCAATCATTATGGGCTGATGATTCAGCCCAGTGGCCTGACCTTCTGACCACTTCTGATTCCCCACTTGTACCTTCTCTCCCTCAGAAAAAGAGCAAGCTGCATTATCACATCGCTGTCATCATCAACTACCTGGGGCACTGCGTCTCGCTTGGGGCCCTGCTCGTCGCCTTTGTCCTCTTCATGCGCTTGAGGTGAGAAACACCCCTCACCAGCTCCAAGCCCACTTGCTTACCCCTCACCAGCTCCAAGCCCAATGGCTGCTCAGTTCATGAGTTGCCTTTGCAGCCTGGATCTGTGCAGATAGGAAGAAACTGTGGGAACTGAGCTAAGACCCCCACACTAGAACCAGGGAGCAGCAGTCTCTTGTGAAGCCCTACGAGTTGCACTTGGTTTTGGCATCTACTCCCTGCCTGTCTGGTCTCCTCATTGCAGGAAGTGAATGATTCAACTCTACTTCCTTCCGCACTCCTACAAGCTGGAAGCAATTACAAGCCCAGGGGAGAGGGAGTTAATATCTTCCCACCCGTTTTCAGTGTGTTAGGAATATTGAGACAGAGAAAGTTGCAGCATGTCTCTTACTGCTCTTAGGAGTCAGGTAATGCCACAGTCCTGCCCCCTCCTCACCCAGAAGAAAAGCTCAGCTCTGACACAAAGTTTCACTAAATTTAATTCAATCACGAAAGAGAGAAATAGGAGCAGGCCTTTCACAACATCTCTGCCACATGCAGCCCACGAGATCTAATAGTGCCCCCCAACCCTTCCTGTGTCCACAGGAGCATCAGGTGCCTGCGTAACATCATCCACTGGAACCTGATCACAGCCTTCATCTTACGAAATGCCACGTGGTTCGTGGTACAACTCACAATGAACCCGGAGGTGCATGAGAGCAATGTGGTAGGTATGGCACTGCCAAGGAAGGGCTGCAATACATCCAGTGTAGGGATGACACACGGGTTGCATCCATATCAGTGGGGAAGACAAAGGAGTTGGGTGGTACAAAGGAGGGCTGGTCTCTACCCCACAAAGCTGGTGCCATAACCACAGCTATGGTTTCAGTTTCTGTTCTAGGGTAGGCAGTGCCCAGTGCAGGAATGAGGTAGTAGTCAGCATTGGGCATGGCTTCTTGCAGCAGTGAATGCCCTAGCTAGCAGGGTGCTCAGTGTAGGCAGTACTAGAAGGTGTGCCACTTTGGCTGATAGATCCTGCTTGCAGGAAAAACACTTCGCTAGTACATTTCACTCCTGGCCCATAACTTCCACTGATATACCAGGGCTGGACTCCTCTCCCTTCCCCTAGCTCTGCTCATGCACTTTGCTCTTGACCCATAGCACCCTATGCCTCTCCCCAGCTGTGATGCATGGGCAAAGGTAGCTTATCCAGCTCCTTCTTGCGCTCTTTGGTCCAACCCCACTCAGCAGCCGTGAGCCCCTCCCATTCCATGTTGAGAGGAGTGGGGGCTGGACTCATCTGGGTTTTTGGTCCTGCCCTCTCATGTCATGCTTCTGCATCTCTCATAGTCCCAGAAGAAGTCAGGGGTTAGTTTGGGAGTGAGAGAGCAATGTCTGCATATTGCAAACTGTTAGGATGAAACAAACTTGTGTTCTGTGCTGTTCTGTCATTTTCCAGAAACCAAATTATGCCTTAACCCCATCCCACATAAGCCCCAGTCCAGGAGTCAGTGAGTACAGAACCAGTCCCAGTCACCACTGAAATAATTCCCTGGCATTGCTTTCTCCCTCCTGGGGCACACTCTGTCCTGTCATGCCAGGGCTAGCTCCTGCACTCTCCCATCTGGCCTTTCACAATATCCAGGATCTGTGCAGCTGCTGTGTGGAGTTCAAGAGGCATTTATATTCTTAATATCCAATAGTACTTGGGAGCTTAAGAATAATGGGGAATTGATTGAATTTGAAGCCTGGTTAATTGGTTGGAGATGGGGAGGGGAGGGGAGGGGAGGGGACAGGGGGAGGGAGAGGCATCCCAGATGGCAGCTTTGCACAGGCTGCAGAAAGAAATGAAGTGTTCACCTGGCCATGACTATCATTCCCTGGGGCTTGCGGGAAGAGAGAGAATGGGACGTGGGTTCTCCTCCTGGGCTAACAGCTCTCTGCCTGCTCTGTGTGGTTTCAGCAGAGCTGTGTCAGGTGGCATGAAAGGGGAGTTGCATGCTCTGTACATGGGAAAGAGAAGGAGACATAAAAATATTGGTGAGGAAAGGAATCAAGTCTGTCAGTGTCCAGAGTAGCCCTGAAAAATACCTATACTTGAGCTTTCTCTGCAGGGAATTGACCTGGAGAGATGCACTCTAAGGCCACATCCAAACGAGTGTGGATGTGCAGTATGTGGTGCCGCAGACCTCTCTGCAGCACCACACACCACACATGCAGGCATTACCCACACTGCTACCTTGCAGGGGGTGGGGTTTGATCCCAGGAGATCCCGGGGACAAAAAAAAACCCACACTGAAGAAAAGCAGGACAGCACACGTGGTGGCAAAGTGCACCACTCAAAATTGGAGCCCGACCAGCCAGAACCACATTCTGGCTGCCAGCCAGACTTCCTGCCATGGCTGCAGCCCTGGGAGGCCCCCAGGACCCCAGGTGAGGCTGCTGGGGCCAGCACAGTTGCTGGCCCAAGCCTCCCCTACCCCACCCAGGGTAACCTGCCACACGCCAGAGCGTACATGGCACCGGCGTTCCCTGGGGACAAATAGCAGCAACACAGGGTGTGCTGCTGCTACTTGTCCTTGGGGAAACAAACATCCACTCTTGTCTGGATGTGCCCTGAGAGTTGGACCTGGGTTTGGTCTTACCATTGAGCAGGGGTTGCCTGTTACTATCTGTGTGTGGAAGGCAAGAGGTCTGGGAGAAGCTTGGGCAGTAAGAGGACAATTAGATCATCCATGAGGACTGGGGAGACCAGCATTGAACCTCCTGCTCCCCAAGGATCTTTTGTAAGCAAAGCTAGGGGCTCTGTGCCTCCACCCCTTCCATGCAATAAGAATTATAGCCCACTTCATGGGAACTGTGACCAACTAAAGCATCTGGATATTAAGGCAAACAGACAGCTTAGTGCCTAAAGCAGGGAGCTGGATTGCCACTTAGTATCTGAGTCACCTTGTACAAATCATAATCTCTATGCATCACTTTCCCCTCTCTGACCTGGTGGTGAGCTTTGCACCTCCCCTGGCTTGCTTTTGTGAAGTACTGAGATGAAAGGTTGTGCATTTCCTGGTACAGCTGCATCACGCAGCCAGGAAGGCAGGCCTAAGACCTGATATGAGGGTCCCAGATATTGATGTGTTGTCTCTTTGTGGCACTGCTTCTGACAGTCCTGCCTTCTTCCTCTGTGTTCTTCCCTCCTTCACCCCTGCCGACTGCTGCCATGGCAGGTCTGGTGCCGTCTGGTCACAGCTGCCTACAATTATTTCCATGTTACCAACTTCTTCTGGATGTTTGGTGAGGGCTGCTACCTCCACACAGCCATTGTTCTCACCTACTCTACAGACAAGCTTCGCAAGTGGATGTTCATCTGTATCGGCTGGTGTGAGTATCTGGGAGAAGGGCTGAGGGGGAGATGGTGCTTCTGGGCCAGTGCCACTCATCATCTGAGCAAGATATTTGCTGACTGGGGTCGGCTAGCAAGCAGCTACCAGGAACATGTTGCACTACAGGTGTACCTTCTCAGCTCCACCTGTTGTTGCTCCAGGTTGGAGGCAGATGGTAGGGAATTCATTACAGCTGTTAATGCAGCCTGCTGGTGGGTGTCTACTACAGGTGCCCCCTGTGCCAGTTCATCATGCATAGTGTCTGCCCAGCTTGAGGAGCTGCCTTTTCAGCATAAGCTGTAGCAGCTGATGCTTCTAGCTCTTGAGGGCCCCAATTTAATCCTAAGTGCATCAGCCAAGACAGCAGGCATCACACCAACTCAGGATAAGTTTGTCCACATGGGCACCAGCACTATATGCAGGGAGCCCACATAAACCAGCTGCCAACATTCCCCACAGGTTAACCCCCATGAAGGTTTACCAGCATGGCATAACTGCCTGGTACAGCTCCAGTGAACAGATTCAGTGTTAGTCTGGGGCCCTCATCTCTGGTAGGCCAGATGGCTGTACCAAAGAGTTAATGGCTTATGGGGCCCCATGCACTTGGCAGTGCCCAGAGGCAATAAGCCTGTCTGCAACAGGGAGTGGGTGGTCCTGTGCCAGCTCCCTTCCTGGTCTGTGAGCCGGACATCTCTGTGATGTGACTGCCCCAGAATTGGCGTTTCACTGGGGAGATCAGAGACAATCAGCTCTTTGTGCACATCTGCACTGCAGAGTAGCTAGAGCCCTAGCTGGGTATGCATAGGACTCAATGTGGATCCCACCAGGAGAGTGGCTGAGGAGGACAGAAGCAGCCCCTCATGCTTCACTACATTGTATGCTTTTTTTTTTTTTACCTGATTTCTATTTATTTTTAATTTTAAAAGTACAAGGCCCTCCACAATTGGGTGAAAAATGGGGAAATGTAATGGAAACATCAGTAACATGTTCCCCCTCTTGTTTTTATTTCAAAAATTTTAATTTGGAAACTTCATCTGAATTAAAAAGGAAAAAAACTTCCAGCTAGTTTCTGGGGTGTCTCTGAGATATACACTAATGTTGGGGCTCCCAGGATCTGGGTCAGAAATCCATACATATGCTGCACTGCTAACATTGACATCTGCATGTGTGTCCTTGACAGGTATCCCCTTTCCAGTCATTGTTGCCTGGGCAATTGGGAAGCTGTATTATGACAATGAGAAGTAAGCCTGATTTCTGCTACTACTGCTACCACCACCATCATCAAACTGTTCCTATTGCAGAGGCCCCACTCAGGATATCTGTTGTGCTAGGTGCTGTACAAATATAGACATGGACATGCTTTCTACCCTGAAGAGTTTACAAGGCAAGATACATACAAGGGGCTGGGGGAAAGACAGCATATTTTCTTTCTTCCTTTCCTGCTTTCTTTCTTTCCGCTGCACAAGTGCAAGTTACTTTTAGTGGCTAATTGTTGCTGGACCTTTCTCTTAAAACAGTAAATGAGACTTTAGACTCAGCCAGAGTCCCTACAAAATGTTTGTTAAATGGAGCTGGGATTTAATCTACAGGCAGAGCTATAAACTGCCACCACCTGAGCCATTTTCACAGAGACCTGCTAATGGAGGGCTTAGCGGGAACCTGATGTGTTCATCATCTGTATTGTGGAGTTAAAAGGAGCCTATTTAGGTGAATGGCAGCTTGCCTCTTTTTTCAGCCCCAGCTTTACCCTGTAACTCTACAGCTCTTCCTACACAAACAGATGATGCACTGGTTTAATATATATATAGGTGCAAAGCTCCAGCAGACACTCTGAAACCTGGCCTTCATAGGATGTTATACTAGCATAAATTAGACAAGGAGAGTTAAACCACTAGGCCAGCACAGCTCTCTCTATGGGGTCTTCCTAGTTTAGTTTAACCTGCTTCCAAGCTAACCCTGAAAAAAAGCACTCTTACTGGAAAGAGAGTGTCCATAGGAAGAGCTGGTCCAATGTAAGGGCAATGCTTTAGATGTATACCTTACATAGATTCACACCTTACAGTTTAGCTTGCTGTACAGAGGAGTTATCTTCCCTAGCAACCTAACAACACGCTATGTTGCTGTATGGTGCACTACAGTGACATAGCGATCACGCGGGTCTACACATGATCGTTAGCTACATCGCCATAGTGGTGTGCTCCCCGCTTATACTGTACCAGTATGACAACATAGCGCGAAAACTTAAGCGTGCGCCGTCTGTACGGTGCAGTACAGGTGGTTACTGCACCGTGTTTTAGTACTTCCAAAGGGAAGTACTAAAACACGGCTCATTAATGTCACCATAAAGCGACGTGTAGACACGCCCTCTGAGAGAGAGCAATTTGTGCAGGGACACCCCACAGGAGGCTGGTGAAGCTCCAGGTAGCACCTGGCTCTCCTTAATCCCAATGCTCCATCCAGTAGGTAACTCCACCCTAGTTTAGCTAGAAGGAGTCATCTGCCCACAGATGTGTACCTCTTTTTTTGGAGTGATTGAGTCCGAAGCTCTTGGCAGCAATGGGTGAATTAAAGCAGTGCTAAAGGCTGCATAGATGCTCCTGATGTCAGTTTGAAGCAGGCCTACCCCAGTAGTTTGGGAATAAGTTTAAGATAAAAGGCCACTAAAAAACTAAATCAGAGTTGGGGGCCCAGGAGATTGTCAGTCTGTGATCATCTGGAGCCAGATTTTCAAAAAATCCCAGGGCTCTGTGAAAAAGGCTTAGCAGCAAACAATGAGGTGAGGGCCTGATTTGCAGCAGCAGCAATGAACTGAGGTCCCCTGCAAATCAAAACACGGACCTCGGGGCCTGAATGGATTTTCAGAACAATTTAAGTTATACCAATTTGTCTTTTTCATGTAGAGGGGGCCTTAAACTATCCTGGCATCAGAGCATTCACACAGCCTTTGGCATTCTTTGGACTGGTTTGGGTTTGCATTCTCCATTCAGTTAAGTCAGTGGGACTTTTCATGAGGATCAACAATAGGCCAGCAGTTCCTAAACTCTTTGAATGGATGACCCCATTTCTGGTCAGCTTGTGACCCTGCTTCTGATGCAGGGCCAAGTGCTATAAGTGAATGTCCATGCGGTTCATGATGCCATTCGTACATGCTATGATACCACTGGTGGGGGGTGAATATTTTGAGATTGACTGCCATAGGGCTCATCCCCCTGGTGGAGTCAGGGCTTCAATGGTCCCCTTTAGGGAAGACAAAGGAGAGTTGTCCAGGAAGATCAGGCGCTTGCATGACCAATTGTTTTGTTGTGTTGAGAACAAACCCAGGACAGGCAGTAATTAATGTGCTTTGGGCCACTGTAACCCCCAGGCCATAGAAATGCATGGCACCCATGATGTTTTTAACTATCTTTCCCACATCCATGGTGGGTTTCTGGTGCTGTCTGTACTTTTGGTAGGCTTTATAAAGGTCAGGCCAAATTCCCAAAAGAACTCAGGGCCCACTTCTCCGAATGTCCTACTGCCCCTTTGGGCCCACCTTATTTAGTTCTCCTGCAAAGCTGGCCACTGATTTCACAACCCACATGCAAACCAAGGACTGCTGAATATTCTGGCCTTAGTGACTAGCACATTTCCCACCAGGCACCTGATATGTGTTGCTGGCCCCTGGCCTCACTAGGCTAAGATGCAATGTTAACATAGTAAGCTATCTAGTAAATCAATTGGGGATGGCTGCTGATCTGAAATTGGTGTAACTCCTTCTGGTCTCTGCAGTATCTCTATCTGATTTATACCCATGTCACAGAGAAGAGGCAGGCCCCTGGTGGCAGCAAAGACTGTAAATCATGGGGTGGATCCCCTGAGCAGGGAGGGGGTTTGTTCCAGCCACCCCACAGTCCCAGTGATGGATGCAAAGGATCATGACTGTTGTGCCTAAACTCTCCCTGCATGGCCCTTATTCTGACCATCCCATCCATTTACCTTGCAGATGCTGGTTTGGGAAGCGAGCAGGCGTTTATACTGATTACATCTACCAAGGCCCTATGATCCTGGTGCTCCTGGTAAGAGCAGATACTCTTGCTCCCCTCCTGTCCTCTTCCCAGGGGTTTCACTGTGACCTAATTCTGATGCGGATGTTAATCCTGATGCTGCTCAGGCATCTTCAGCCAGAGACCATAGAGCTGCCCTTTGTTATCTTTTGTAGGAGAGTGTCTACCTGGGCAGACATGGCTCTCCAGGGAAATGACCAGTTTTATCACCAACATTTTCCCACTGAAAATTTACCCAGTGAAAAATATCACTGGATTTTTGCGGGGCAAAAAACAAAGTCAGTTTTCTGATGGGCTTCAGCAATGGAAATCACTTTTCAGTGTATCCAATGACTTCAGGCTGCAGACCACCACAGAGATTCCAATAGCCTAGTACTGTACAGACCCAGGGCAAGCCAGAAGGTCTAACATGCTCCACCTCTCTCATGGGACAAACTGAAGCATGCACATACATTTCCTGGCAGTTGCATATTGCCAGCACACAGATTAAGAGGCATCAGAGTGACAGGATAGAGATAGTAAGGACTTGCCAGTGCAGGAGTAGAATCAGTCGACCAAAACTTCTTTTAGGGAATTTATACATGTGCTCCTGGAGTGGAGGTGGGAGAGGGGGAACTTTAATTAGAGCGATTCTGAGCAGCTCTAATTAAAGCACCCAAAGCATCTCGTGTGCCAGCGTCCCCGCGCTTAAAAATGGCAACGGAAGCATTTTATCTAAAGCTTGCCAAGCAGGAGCACTGATATACAAGACGCTGGAGTCTGCTGGACTCAGTTAATCAAGTCTGCTCCAACGTGCTGTAATTACAGTGTGTTGGAACAGCCTCGCTGCTCGTGTGTAGCCACCCCATGTGATCAGGACAGTTAGTACACAATGTACCTAGAACAATCAGCCTAACCAAGCAAGCCCATCACCAGAATGCTCAACCCTTCCAAGCTAAACCCCAACCCAGAATCTGATGCCTTCTGCCTCAGCTGATAACCACTTGGTCTGCTGCTGATAACCAACAGTAGAGGCCTGCTGTCTGCTGAGGACCATGAGTCCCTAGGCACCACCATAGTATGTACAACAGTTAAGTACTGGTATTGACATGTCTTCATCAGTACCTGTCCCAGATCCCCTTTCACACATCCTTAGCCATCCTGCACCTCCATGTCAGCATTGCCCTTTGTACCCTTTATATAGTTTGTTTTTGACAGAGAACAGAGGAGGGAGGATGTGGAGGGCTTCTCCAAAGACAGGGAGCAAAGTGACCATCCAGGAGAAGGGATAGAACTGATCTCACGCTGATGCCAGGATGTTCTCAGTTCCTGTAAAGTTGCTTTTTCTTCCTTAAAACCATAGTAGGGTGAGTGTCTGTTACACTGTCTAACAAAGCTGGTCAGACAGTCTTCATCCAAGTAGCCCTGCTTTTAAAGTCAGTTAGGCATTTGAGTCCATTTGACCAAAAATGAATAAGGACCTTGAACATAAGTTTTTTGCAAAGCCCTGGTGAAGTATTTAAGTACTGAGGCATCCCGGTCACAGGGTGTGGCTTCTTGGTCTTTTATTGGATGACCTACCCATTATAAACAGGAGACCTGAATTGGCAGGGCTTGACATTGCTCAGGGAAAGGCTGGAATCAGGTTGTGTCAAGAGAATTGGCCAGAGAGTGGCAGCCCTAAGGAACCGATTTGGGCTTTCATGGGAAGAGCTATGTAAACATCCCCACAGCTTCACCTTCCTTCCTGTGGAACAGCTTTAATACCTACAGGTTTTTAATCACCTGCACCAGCCAGCATCCCCTCTATCTCTCTGAATAATAGAGCCCTGCTTTTCATTTTTTAGCCCTTAGGTAGCTAGACCATTTTTAATCTGTGTCAATTGTGCTTGGGTTAGTATGCTGCTCTCCCCATGACCTCATTAATGGAACAGCAGTCAGGAAGGCACTGGATTGAACCAGCAGCCTTCAGCCACCAGCTCCTTCTTCTTGCCTGGAGGAGCCCAAAATCCCCTTTGCACTTCTCTTCCTTTTTCATTCGCCTTATCCTGATTTTCTTTCACACCTTTTTCTACCCTTCTTCCTCTCTCATTTTTAACTCTGCTTCTCCAGGTCACTCTCTGTCTCTGCCCTCCTCATCTCTCTCCCTCTTAAACAGTCTAGATTAAACATTTCATTTCACTCCAGTAAAGTGCTTTGAAGATGATCTATGCAAAAGTCTCATTTCCTGAGCCCTATGTATCGTGTGTGCTGAATAAGACAGCCAGCATGAGAAAAACAGTATAGGTGATCACATCACTAAAGACTGTCTCAGAATTAGACTGGATCAGCATTTATCTTCAAAAAGCAGGGTAGGGCTTGTCTATTTTTTAACTGAAAAATAAACACCTACCCCCAAGCCCTCCCTGCCCCACACACACACACACTTTTTCCCAGAGCTCTGGAATTTTAATTGAAACAGATTTTGAAAATCAAAATGTTTTAACCAAAGATGCTTGTCTCCCAGTTTGCAATTGTAATTTTTCATTTAAAAAAAGGAAAATTTTGAAAAAAAAGGCAGTTTTGTTTGCCTGCTTTAAGGCTGTATGAGCTACCTTAATGTAGCCACTTTTTCTGCTTTGAGTGGTTCTTTTTGATACCTCTTCCCCTGAGCTTTAACATGATCAGTTGAGGGACTATTGTGCTGGGTGTTGTGCACGCTCTGAAACAGATGTGGTCCCTGGCTTGCAATCTGAGATGTGCCATGTCCAAAAGGCAGCAAAGACAATTACTGTAGATACAATTTTTATTACAGGGAGCATCAACCATCATAGAATCATAGAGAAGTAGGGCTAGAAGGGACCTCCAGAGGCAGTATCATCTCTATCCAAACCATCCTATACAATCCGTAATCTAAACTCTGCGTCAACCCTGATACAACATGGACATAACACCCTAACTTGGCACAGGTAAAGCAGGGGAACCACGACAACCAATGTCTTGCTTCTATAAAGGTTGTCAATATATGCTCAGAGGATCCCAGGTAAAGGGACACATCTCCTGCTATAGAGGAAGGCAAAACCCCCCATAGTCCATACCAGTCTGACCATGAGATAAAATTCCTTCCTGACAGATACAGCAATCAGTCTTACCCTGAGCAGTGGAGCAAGACCCTCTAGCCCAGAACCTCCAGCTTTGGTCCCAGCAGGAGCATTGGTATACCACAGTCAAAATCCCCAACCTTGGCTGTAGCCTCTAAAACTTGGGGAAGCTTCAGGTCCAAACTGACTTTCTAAGACTTATACCCTAAGTTTTAATGGAGGATCATTTTTTCTCCAGCACCCACGGAGATTATTAGAGCACAAAGGCTGGTTGCAGATGCTAAAAAACAAAACAAAATGGAGCTTTATGTTAAACACCGCATGCTCCTGTACCAAGCCCAACACATGCCCAGAAGAGGCAGTGCCTTAGTTGGACTTGCCTTGCCCAACATCTGTATAAATTGAGTGCTTTAGTGGGGCTTTTTTGGCACTTTTATCTAATAGTTGATTGACTTAGCTTTAGCAAAAAGTGCAAAAAAGCCCCACTGAAGTGTCCAATCTATACAGAAACTGCAGAGCTGGGTCAAACTAATGTGTTGCTTCTTCCAGTAAAGCATGTTTTGAGGGGGGTTTTTAACATCTGCAAGTGTTCAGGGAGACTTCAGATGAAGCCATACACCAGAATTACCATGTATCAACACAACAGACTTCAGCTATCCCAGTGAACTTTAGAAGAAGAGACAACTTAGGAAATCACAGGAGACTTTGTCTAACTTCTGAATCGAGTTGGCTGAAGAATATTCCTCCCCTTCACACTCTCCCCTGTGCAGAACAGTGGTGCTTATAGCATGCCCCTCAACCCTCTCACACCCACACCTGCACATACATGCAAAAGATTTCAACTTTTTGCACAAAAAAAAGCTTTGATTTTGACGGAAAAGTACCAAAAATGAGGATATTTTCACCTTAAAATTGTTAATTTTCAGGCATTCAGATTTCTAGCAATATTTTAAAAGAAAAGTTGTCACTTTTCACAAAGATGTTTGCTAAGTTAAAAAATCCACTTTTCTTTTGAAAACAAGTTTTCACAATGAATTTACAACCTGTGCTTCCTCCAGGCTCAGAAGCTCAATCTGAGATCTAAAAACCCAGCAGGCATCTTCCTGCCCCTCTTATCACTAGCCCCAGCCATGCTTTACGCCTGGGACTTAAAAGGCTTTGGTATCTGCTAGCAGTACCACCATTAATCTCTTACAAAACCAAAGATTAATAGAAATCATTCCAGTAATTTACAAAGAAAATAAGGTATTTATAAACAATTTGCTTCTTAGTGCACAGTTTTGTAGGCCTAACACCAAGGGCATAATTTGACATGTGAAAAATGTTGCTGGAGAGCATGACGAAGAAAAGGACCAGACTTGAGTCTCCGATCCAAGGAGGAGTTGGCATAGCCAGTAGCCTAAAAAGATACCTTTCTGTTTGTAAACAGAGCCCATCAGATGTGAACACACTGAGTGAGCATCATCATGCAACCCCACAAAGTGTACTGCATACACTTTAGTTTTTCTTTTCACTTTCCTCTGAAGCCTCTGGTGACAACCTTCAGGCAGGCAACTGAAGTGCCCAGAGCAATTGGCTGCCTCTGCAGGAGACCCCCCATCCCCCCGGTCAGCGGGATCAGCCGCGGGGATTCCCCCCCTCCAGTTGCTGACTGGTCACGGGGGGGGGGCACATGCACCCCCGACTAAGGCAGCACCAGTCGCCCATGGTGTTACGCCACTATTTACAGATGAAGTTTTCCAGCTATCAGCCTTGCTTTTAAGATTTTTTTCTCACTGAGTGAATTGTATCAGCTGCTTCCTTATTTTAAGAAGAAGAAAACTTGGAAAACTTGGCTTGATAATTACCTAGCTGGCCTGATAATTACCTAGCTGGGGTCATATGAGCCCAGTATTCTCTCCTGCCCAGGGTAGGGGTTGGACTTGATGATCTACTTAGGTCCCTTCCGACCCTACATCTATGAATCTATGAAAACCAAATTCTTGTAAGGGACTGTCAGCAGCATCTGTGCCCTGAGTCTGTCCCACCCCATCAGGCTGCTGCAACTAGACCAATGGAAGCCACGGGGGCCTTGGGCAGTGGCGACGCATAGGGGGTGCATGGTGGTGCATGCACATCCCCTGAAAGCACCAGTGCACCCCCTGACAGCAGCGTTCCTGCACAGGGGGGCAGGCGAGAGCACTGATGCCCACCCCGCCCCGAGTGCCGGGTGCTGGCACCAGGAGAAGCAGTCCCCCTGTGGCCAATCACATTCATCTGGAAGTGCCAGTGGCACTCCACTGCCACTTGCAGGTCAGCGGGATCAGCCTTGCGGGACACTCCCCCACCCCCCAGTCAGCAGAATCAGCCACGGGAGGGACATCCCCCCAGGGATGCTGACTGTCTGCTGGGGTGGGGGGGGGGAGGGGGGGGGGGGGGGGGGGGGGCAAGTGCCCCCCCGACTCAGGAGGCACCAGTTGCCCATGGCCTTGAGGAATGGCTACATGAGGAGCCAGTTATGGCTTCCAGGCACTTGAGCAGCTGCAGAAGTCACCAAAGGAGGTGGCTACTAGAGTACTTCCCACAGCAGTGACTGGACTTCCTTCACTTGGAACCAACTGTCTCCATCTTTCACAGCCTATCTGCCTCTCTTCTTCTCTGTCCCATCCCCCTCATCCACATCGTATCCATGCCCCCGTTCCCTTTCCTCCTCCTTCCATCTAGAGGATCCCTCCCACCAAATCCTGTACCTCCACCTGGAAAGGAATGGCCCTTTGCTGCCTTCCCATCTTCACTCAGTTGGTGTGTTCTGCCCTTCCGTCACCCTAAACCGAAATGTTTTTTCTATTTAGACTAGAACCTCTTCGCAGGAAAGATTGCCTGCTATATCATGTGTGCACTGCAGTGCCAGCCAGCAGGGCCCTCATCTTGCTTGCTCCTGAGCCAATAAGTTCATAAACAATAGTAATAATAAACAACCCAGTAACTGAAGTTGTACCAGTCATAGTATGTGTTGGGGACTCTGTCAAGATGCTGAAAGGTTACCTCAGTGACTTTCTGTCAGTGACCAGAGTACCCTAAAAGTATTTCCCAGTTTGCAATAGCACCTAGTGCCCTAAGGTTCTGGCTGATCCAGGGCCTGAGATAAAAGATCACCATGGGTAGTAATCCTGCCCATGAGATGGCAGACAGGATGTTCTTGCAGACTGCCCAACAGCAGGACACAGCACATGCTTTGCCATTGGATTACAAATAATCTTTCTGTAGTAGTAGAGTATCAGAGATCAAGACTGCAGACTCAAGGACAGTGAGTGTTCTCTAGTGGTTGGAGTCATGTTTAGTGATGGAATAGCTAAAGCATGCACGTTTTTCCCTACTTGTTCTGAAAGGCAGCATGGCTGAGTGGATAAAGTGGGAAGCTGCTGCATGAGATTCCTGTGCTCTTTCCAGAACTCTGCCTAGAAAAGATGCTCCGCTGGGGCCTGAGGCCTTGGCCAGCAAAAATATCATATAGTTTTACAAAAGTAGGGCTTGAAGGGACCTCCATAAGTCATCTAGTCCAGCCTCTCACCAGAGATGGTATCATCATTCCTGTCCGAACGTTCCTATACGAATCCATTGTCCAACCTATTACTAAAACTACACAGTCAATCCTGATACAACCACAAGACATAGCACCCTAACCTGCCACAGGTAAAGCAAGGGAACAAGAGCAGCCAGTGTAGTGCTGCTACAAGGGTTGTTGAAAATATGCTCAAGAGATCCAAGGAAAAGGGCCATGTCCCCCACTACAGAATAAGGCAAAAACCCCCCACAGTCTGCACAAATCTGACCATGAAGTAAAATTCCTTCCCGTTCTAAAATATGGTGTTTGGCCTGACCCTGAGCTGAAGGGTAAGACCTTCTAGCCAGGAACCTCTGGGTTTAAGTCCAAGCAGGAGCACTGGCACACCTCAGTCAAAATCCCCAGTATTTCTGAGGAAGGCACAATGCAATGATGTGTAGAGATACCCAAAACAGCTCTGAAAGGGCCAGTGCTAGTACTGGAAACAGTATAACCACATGAACATATCGCCCCACCCAACCTAATATACCCTGCTTCAGGAGGACTTGAAGAAGCGCCATGCTAATCCTACTGTATTGCTTTTGGTGCTGAAGCTAGCTCAGGTACCGCCATGTGGCTCTGCATTGTGCCATTCAGACATACCCTAAAAAAGCTGGCATCTGCACAGAATTACAACCAGCCTTCAGTAGCAGTAACAGTAGAGCTCATGAGCTACCAGTGCAAAGCTCAGTGCACCTTCCTCTGACTGTAGGGTATTTGGTGAGGTCCTTGTCCTGATTTCCTTCTTTTGTCCCATAGTTTAACAACCAGAGAAACCAGTCATGTGTTGTACTCCACTCTAGTGACTCTCAGAGCACAACCCTGAGATAATAACACATAATGTTACTTAATTTAGGTTTTTGACTGCATGCCCTGGGTGTGTCTTCCCTGCGACTGTGAATAATTGCAATGTTTTCAGCTACACTCATTCAGCACATACAGCTTCATGTTGTAGTTGTTCTCTTTTGACCTGGCCTGTGGCCACTACAGTTCACTGAGGGGTGTGGGTTGATTGTTGCTGTTCTTTGTTTAACATTGATGCTCATAGCCCTCCTGAGCTGGTTTAAGCCGGGGGTCACTGCTCTTCCATTTTGCTGTCTTGCATCCATTAACTGGCTTTAGATCCTTGCCACATCCTTGTGTTTTATCATCTAGCTGCTCCCCTCCATAGTCAGTTCTTTGGCCTGTTGCCCTTTATCCCACCACAGAGCACAGTCTGCAGCAGGTAGCCATCAGACTAGTTGCTTCATCCAAACCATCAGAACGTTTTCCTCACTGCTGCTGAAGTGACTCTCCCTTTCATATGATCTCTTCTGAGTGCCTTGGTTCTCACATAGTCTTGACAGCTGACTGCAAGCAGCCTGTAGTGATCACTGGACTCAATAAATACGCAGGCGTGTATAAACGAAAAAGTACATGCTTTAATTGTGGAGCAATATGCAACATGTACAGAACCTTGGTCTGTCTCTCAGTAACTGGGCACATCTACACAAGATGCTACTGCACAGTCGTTACTGCGCATTATTTGTAATAACAAGTACTAAATGAATGTGCAGTAACCAGAGTTACTGCATAGTAGTGCTGGCAAATGTCTTTTAAGTGACACTACTGCACAATAACCTAATAATACTGCACAGTAGCGTATTGTCTGTGCTATGACATGCTATTGTGCAGTATTTTTCAGCTACTGTGCAGTCAGTATCTTGTGTAGATGTGCCCACTGACTCCTAACTAGCTGCTCTATAAGGGCCCACCTCTCAAGTCCCAACTCACTCAATCTCCTGTTAGGGAGTATCTATAAATTAGAACTTCTATCTCTATACTGCTGTTGGCAACATTTCACTCCAAAGGCCAGCAGTGTGATTGTGCCAGCTTTCCTGAAGGTCCAGTTGCATGCAGTGTCCTGAAAGGTCCAGGTTATTAAGAAAATATGGGTCTCGAGCTGACCCTTTTCATGCCAATCCTAGGTGCAGTGTGGGTCTAGGTAGACCCTTCCTAATGCTCTGACCGTTCTGCCCTGTGGATGGATACCTGCTAGGGAATAGAAGAAAACCAAACAGCAAAGTTTACACAAGATTGAAAACAAGCTGTAGGTGTCCAGGGGCTGGGAAGTCAGCAGATACCTTTGCTGTTCCACAGAGACTCCCAAAATCTTTTATGAGCTGTCATCCAGAATGGGACATTTTCTCCCATAGACTTTTCTGGGGATTATTGACAATAGTGTAACTAGGGGTGGGTGAGTGGGGCGCTAGTTCCAGGCAGTGATTCAGAGGGTATGCCAGAATGGGAGGAATGGGAGCCTTTGCGCTGCAGCAGCAACATCCCATGCTATGTAGCAACAGCAGCCAGGGTCTTTGAGTTTCTAGGACCAGTAAGACACACACACAGCCACACACACATACACACAGTCCCTGGTATCTCTGCCTAGGGCATAAAACATGCAAGGTAGACTTCTGATTGTTGGCATGACATATGGAGGGGTAGGTGAGGTGCAGGAGATGTTTCTGTATTAATGAGTATCCTTCCTTTGTCTGTTCCAGATCAATTTTATCTTTTTATTCAACATTGTCCGAATACTCATGACGAAGCTCCGGGCCTCAACCACATCAGAGACCATCCAGTACAGGTAGCAGTGAGCACTGGGGAATACCATAATAGCACTGTAACAAAGTGCTTGTCCCAGGGGGTGACCATGATACCCCTGGTGATCACATGGCCCTAACCTGGTCTGCCCTTGTGGGGAACCCTCCCCTTTGCTCACCCACCATGCCTTGATGTTCTTTCTAGTCCTTTAAAGGAAGGGAGGCTGCCCCAGGGCTTTCCAAAGCTGGCCTCACTCATTGACTTGCAGGCTAATCATGTGTCTTGGGGTACCCATATATGCTTGTCAGGGCCCAGCCTTCCCAGCCTCAGCCACCTCTTTATATTGGCTGGTTCCTATGGCCTAGGACCACAGCACTGGACCTGGCTTCTGGGTCCCAGCCTTGTCCTGGCCCTCCTTGGGCCTTGTCTCTGCCCAGGCTCTGGGCTCCAGGCTCTCCAGCCTGAAACATTGCCCTGCAACAAGCTCTGGGCTCTCTGGCTCCAAACACTGCCCTGCTCCTGGCTCTGCTTGCTCGCTCTGCCCCCAGCAGGGCTCAAGACAACCATGTGCCCCTTGGGCACTACTGGGACCTCCAAAACCCCCCCTTCACAGCCCCCCCATTTCCACCTTCATGTCCTAGAGAACAGCCATTCCTCACTTCAAATAAAACTAGCCAACCTTGCCCACGGACTGCAGAGATTTCCCTGGCAGTCTGCTTTTCATAGCTGTTTTGTCCCCACCAAAGCCTCCCCTACTGTAATGCTGTGGGCTCAGTGGATAAATACACCCAGTGGAGTCAAGGGTGTTTGTTGTAGCCATGTTAGTCTAAGGCTATAGGCAGACAAGGTTATTTGAGTTTACTTTTATTAGACCAAATGAATAGCTGGAAAAAACCTTCTTTGCAAGCTTTCAGGAACAGCAGACTCTCCCTATGCCTGAAGAAGTGTGCCTGTGCCTGAAAGCCTGCAAGGAACAATTTTTCCAACTGTTCAGTTGCTCTAATAAAAGATATCACATTTACCCAAATAAACTTCCCTAACCTCTGGAATAAAGCATTTTGACTCAGTCCTTCCTCCTCTGTTGTAAAAAAGACCCAAGCAGCTCACCACAGGAATCAATCCAACAAAGTCTGTGTGAGCTTCAAAGACCACTGACAACTGGCTGTGAGAGAGTTCATCGTTAGTCTTAGTGTTACCAGCAAAATACTTTCCATTCCTCCCACATACCCTGGCTCTCCTCATCTCAGAGATGACTATGTTTCAGCAGTGCCATCTCTGAAATACTTTGGAGCACTCCTTAACGCAGGGGCAGGCAGTTATTTCAGGTGGAGGGACACTTAATGAGTTTTGGCAAGCCATCGAGGTCCGCATGACAGGCAGTCGGGGGCAGATAAATATTAATTTTCTAAATTTTTTAGGGGCCCCATGGGATGGATAGAATGGCCTGGCAGACCACATCTGGCCCACAGGCCGCATTTTGCCCACCCCTGCTTTAATTAATGTTGTCCACCAGTTCCTAGCTGTTGTCAGCAGAGCTGAGCAGAAAAAGGATATCCAAACCTTCTAGCCAAGCAAGAAGTATCATGGGGTAGAAAGGGCCAGGAGTGCAGTGTGATAGGCTTTCCAAAGGACCTGTCTTAGGACCACAGGGCTGGTTGACTACCATTTTGAGAAGTCAAAATGACTACCCATTTTAGGGGTAGGGGGTCTCAAAAGTTCCAGCCAGAAAGTCTATGTTTGAGATTATGGGTTGCTGGATTCTCATCTAAAGCGAGCATAGTAGCTGAATAACTGCCTTTGCAAAAGCCTTCCCCAAAGGGTCTGACCTTCTGCTCTCTAAAGCTGGCCATACAAATCCTGGCACAGAGGTGAGAATTAAATTGCTTCTTGGGAGCAAAACAAAGGACAAGCTAAGAGAAATGAATCAATGCAGCCCAAACACCTGCTGTCCCATCTCAGGGGAGGAAACAGAGGGTGTCTTTATACATGCACCAGGGATTGTGGGAAGGAGGTTTCTTTAATTAGAGAGGCTCCTCGGAGCTGCTGTAATTAAAGTGCCTGCAGCGTCTTCTGTATTCAGTGTCCAGCACTTCAAAATGGCAGTGGGGGAGCTTTAACTAAAGCTCATTCAACAAGCCTTAGTTAAAGCGCCCCTGCTGTCATTTTGAAGTGCAGGGATGCTGAATACACAAGAAGTCAAGGCTGCTAGAGCATGTTAATTAGCACTCACCAGCAGACTCGATTAAGCACTAACTAGCACACATCAGAGCAGGCATCAGGCATATGTGTAGGTGCCCAGAGCTTTCTTGGGTACATGGTAGAGCTGATTTACCCTCCCCTTTCCAGACAGCATTTTTCAAAAAAAAGTGAGTCTCTGAATCCTAAAATGCCAGCTGTCCTGCAGGAAGAAAAGGTCTTTCCGTCCTTCAGTGAAGTTGACTCTTCCTGTAGAGGCAGAAGGAGACTTCCTGGATCCAGAATGTATATAGCGTATGCTTGAGAAGATGGTTTTGCACTGATAGAACTAGTTTAATTAAACCTCTTTGCAAATAATGAATAAACATACTTTATTAGTATAGTTAATACAGGTGGTTGGGAATGTTTCAGCATTCCTTCACCTGAAAAGGCCAGCTTTTCAGAAATGAAACTTTTTGTCAGAGGAGTTCAGTTTTGAATAAATTTTCAACTTGGAAAATAACTGAGGGAAAATGTAAAACAGTTAAAAGAAAACATTTTGACTCACCCAGACTGAGCACTTCTGAATTTTTAGGTCAGGAAAATTGTCAAGATTTCTACCTGTTTCAGGACACGGAAAAACTGTGATGTCCAGAAAATATTTGTGGGTTTGGAAAACTGTTTAATAGTTTCATAGATCAGGGCAATTCAATTGCTAAACATCCAGGGGCTGCACATCCCACTGGCCACATGGGTAGAGGCTGCACACTGTATGGGCCACACCAGTGGCAGCCATGGGCCTAGGGCTGGATACCATGTGGACACCTGCCCTCCCACCCCTGCACCCCACACTCACAAAGCTCCAGCCTCACCCCTGGTTCCCCACACTGTCATACTGCACCACACCACGCCTTAGGGTGGGCACAGAAAGCAGAAGCCAAAAGAGGCAGGGAAGACTTGGCTCCAGCTGCTATGGCAGCTGGATCAATGTAGGGGAGCAGCAGCTGGGCAGGAGCCTGGGGGCCATAATTTAACTTCCTCCAGGCTACATGTGGCCCACAGGCTGCAACTGGACATCCATGTTATAGATTATAAACCAAAAGGGACCATTATAATGTTCTAGTCTGACCTTTGTATAGCACTGGTTTTAGGACTTCCTCAAATTAATTGGTATTTGGATTAGGGCAGATATTTTACAAAAAGAATTAGCTTTTCACTTGAAAATTTCCCAGGATGGAGATTAGTAAAACCATTGGTAAATTGCTCCACCAGTTGATCTCTTTCAATGTGTGCCTTATTTCTAGTTTGAATTTGTACAGCTTCAGTTTTCAGTCATTGAATCTTGTTATACCTTAATCTCCTGGACTGAAATGTGTTCTACCATCCAAGTGCCCACAGAGACACTTATGCACTGTGATAGAGCTCAACGGATTGAGCTCATTGGGCTACACAAGACACTGACTGTCTAGTAGCTGAATAATACTGCGCAGTAGCACATCACAGCACACACATTGCTAATATGCTACTGTGCAGTATTATTAGGCTACTGTGCAATAGCATCACTTAGAAGACGTTTGCCAGTGCTACTGTGCAGTAACTCCAGTTACTGCACATTTATTTAGTACTTGCTAATACAAGTACTAAATAAATGTGCAGTAATGACTGCACAGTAGCATCTTGTGTAGACGTGCTCAGTGAGTCTTTCACTATAAAGCATTTGCTTCTTGCTCTCCAATTTACCAGTGATCTTCTTGAGCTGTGGATGCCAGAAGTGGATGCAGTTGTCCCACTGTCAGATACATAAAATCATAGAAAAGTAGGGCTGGAAAGGATTACAGAAGGTCATCTAGTTCAGCCTGCTTTTCAAGGCAGGATCATCTAAACCACCTATCTAAACCATCCTAGACAAGTGCTTGTCTAACCTATTCCTAAAACTGTACAAACTCCCCTGTCACACAGCTACTAGGCACAATGCCCCGAAACACCAAAAGCGCTCTAACTTATAATTGGTAAAGCAGGGGGATGAGGGCACTGCCAGTGTACTGCCCCTGCAAGAACAAAAAGTACTTGTTAAAATACATTTGAAAGATTCAAAAAAGAGTGCCAGGCCCCCCAGCTACAGAGAAAGGTAAAGATCCCCACACTCCATGCCTATCTGACTGTGGGGGTAAAATTTCTTTCTGATAACAAAGTGATGATTGGTCTGACTGAGTGGAGGAGCACGACCCTCTAGTCTGGAGCCTTTGGAGTTTTTAAGTGATACCCACCTCTATACTCCTACCCTGTATTCCCCTTTTTACTTCCAAAGATTGTATTTGCCCAGCTGGCCACAGCATCACACCAAGAGCTCTTATGCAACTGATTGTCCACTTTGATCCCTTTAGTCTGGTTCTCCAGGATTGAGTCCCACATGCTGCAAATGTAGCAGGTATTCCTGGTGCCTCAGTATAGGACATTGCATTTGACTGTGCTGAAATACCTATTGCTTCCTTGCCAACTGTTCCAGATTGCTCTGTGTCAGTGGCCTGACCTCTTTGCTATTTGCTGCTCCTCTAATTTGTGCGTCTGCAAATTTCATCAGCAATGATTTTGTGTTTTCTTCTAAGTCACTGGTAAAAATATGAAATAACTTAGGGCCAAGAACTGCGGATCCCTACAGGAAACAGACTGACTTGAGGTCCTTTCCCCAATTACAGCTACACATCAGACCCATCAGTTGATTTTTAATCCATTTAATGCTGTGTTGATGCAGCGTTGTTCTGGTTTCCAAATCAAAATGCACACGGTACAAATTCAAAGGCCTTACAGAAGTCTAGAGCCATTATATCAGCCTATTACCTTTATCAACCAAATTTCTAATCTCATCAAAAACAAACATCAAATTAATTTGACACAGTTTATTTTCTGAAAGTCCAAATTGATTGGTGTTAATAATTCTATCTGCTTTTAATTCTTTATTAATCAACTCCCCCCACTATCTGTTCTTTAATTTCACCTGGCTTCACTGTCATGTATCCTGCCCAATCCTAATTGTCATGTTCAGTTTACACATGGAGAAACTGGAGCACAGAGAGCCATAGGGTGTGTGTAGATGAAACGGGGGTTTACTTCACTCTAAATTGAAGCAGCGGGTTTTTTAAAAAAACACTTCAATTTAGGGAGAAGTAAACCCCGTGTTGTGTACACCCGTGTCTTACCTGCCTCCTCTCCAGCAGCGGGGAGGCGAGGGGAAGGCGAGCTGCGGGTGGGCAGAGCGGTCCCTGGGCTGCGGCGAGAGGCTGGTGCTTCCCTCCACAGCAGCGGCATCCCCTCTCCACCCCCCAGTTGGCACCCACCCACAGGCACCCAGTTTGGGCAGTTTGGGGTGGCCCCGCAGCCACAGAGGGAAGGACCAGGTCGGGGTGGCACCGCAGCCACAGAGGGAAGGACCAGGTCCCCGCACAACTCATGCAGGCAGGCAGACTCCAGAGGAAAAAAAAAGATCAGGTGCAAAAGCATTTAACCCACATTAAAGTGTCATGCACACATGCCGCTCATTTCGTCTCCACACACCCATAGTGTCAAACATGATGACTTAAGTTTACGTGCTTGCAATCCACAATTCTACACTATGGTAACTGGCCTGATTTTCAGAGGCACTAAACATACAGTGTGCCAACAACTTTAGAGGGCATCCTGGGTGGTCAGGACTTGTATCTGTCAGGCCATTTAATTTGGGGCTGTCTGACCCTCACCATGTGCTCACGTTTGAAACTTCTGGCCTAAATGAGTGACATCTGAAAAAATGAAGCCAGTAGTCCTGGCACTGCTGCCTCCATCCACTTCCCACCAGTAATTATAGCATCATATAGAAGAAATAAATCCTTTCTAATAGGATGAGACAAGCTCCTTCTCACCCCACCTGCCATTTATGCTAATCTGATTGCTTTTTCTTTATCTATTAGGAGGCACTAAACTCAGACTCACATTCCTCCAATCTGCCAGTGGGTGTGGGCAGGGAAGGTATGCTGTGGTCTGCTGCTGTGCTGATGCAGCTCACCTCTGTACTTTTTCCTCAGGAAAGCTGTGAAGGCCACACTGGTCCTGCTGCCATTGCTGGGTATCACCTACATGCTGTTCTTTGTGAACCCCGGGGAGGACGAGATCTCCCGCATTGTCTTCATCTACTTCAACTCTTTCCTGGAATCCTTCCAGGTATGAGTCGTGGCAGCTGCATCACCCCGTTGGCCAGACCCATGACATACATCCAGCCTACCAGCCCCTCTCAGGCCACACCAGGGTTCCAAGAGATGTGTCACACGTGTGAAAAATGGGCCCAGAGCTGTACTAGAGTCAAGAGCCTTGGGCTGTGTGTCAGTGATACACAGCTTCATCCCACCCCAGTCCCCTGGAATCACTGCTAAATTCCATGGGAAACATCTGAAACTGCAAAGTTAAAAATAACTCTGGTTTAGCTAGGTGTAAATCAATTCTGCTTTCTCCATGCCCAGGGACATCCTCCAACCCAGAGCCTCCCAGGCTGGAGCCAATCCATTGCCCTACCTCCAAAGCTGGAGCCATGCCCTCTGCCCACCTTGGGCAGACAGCATGCCAAGGATTTCCCTCAAAGCTTGTAATAATTGTGGTTCTTATGTTTCCTCCCCCCAGGGCTTCTTTGTCTCTGTCTTTTACTGCTTCCTGAACAGTGAGGTGAGTGTCTTCTTGGGGATCTGTGTCTTTCACTTCTGCAGGTTCCAGGCAAAGTTCTCCCAGTGCCTCTCAGTTTGTCTGACAAGCCAAAAAATATAATAACAGGTAGATAGAGCTAGGGAGTTATGAGTGACCGGTCACCAGGGGATGCTGAGGCTTTTCTCAAATGTGAAGAAGCAATGACACAAATTCGGCGGATTTAACCTTGTCCCCCATAGGAAGTTATAGTCTCCATCAAAATCAGCACGTCCTCTCTCTTGCCAGACCAGAGTCTGATGCCCATCAGCAAAGGCCAGTAGGGTCCCAGGACTGGAAGGGCAGAAGGGAACTCATTAAGAGGAGACTTCTAGTTCCAGCAACACCAGATTTGTTTCTGAAGAGCTTGCAATTGGTTTATTTACCAGTGCACCCAATCCCTGCTTTGCCCTTGCAGAGCAAGGAGAGAAAATCCAGTTATAGCATGTACTTGAAGAACAAATTCACACTGGACCAGCTGAGGCCTGACAGCCAGCCACAATGATACTCAGTAGCAGCACTCCCTGCCTACACTAAATAGGTCCAGAACCGTTGCCTGCTTCAGCAGTGCCAGCTTGTGTCTGGTGTAAACAACATTCACTGGGACACCCATCCCAATCCCTCTGTACTTTACCTCTGAGCAGAGCGGCTGGGGAAATGATCTTTAGTTTTCATGAGAAATTTAGAATACATTTTAGCCTACTTTTTTAATCAAAATTCACCATAAGAACGTGATTTTTTTTAACAGAAAATATTGTAAATATGGATTGAAACCTGTTTTCTGGAGGTTTTTTGTTTTGGTGTTCAAAAACCAAAAAAGTTTTCCCCAAACCTGACATTTTTCACCAAACATGATGAAAAATGATTGGTTTTATTGAAAAATTTCAGCAAAACAGACACTCCTATCTCCCTGCCCCATGCTATTGTTTGCAAGCCATTTTTCATTGCCATTGATTTTCATTGTTCAACCAGCTCTTAAATACATTGCAGCAGTGGGTTGTTTTGGTCAATGCACCAGTGAAATGTTATGATACTTCAGCCCAGGGCTGTCCAACTCACAGTCTAAGGGCTGCCTGCAGCCCACAAGGGGTTAAATTGCAGGTTGTGGCCTCCTACCCTGGTGCCATTCCCCCCAACACTTAGGTGGTCTCTGAACTCTGGGTGGGAAGCATGGAGGGGTGGGGCGGGCTGTGCAATGTACTGCAGTGTACCTGGTGAAACCCATGCAGCATGGCACAATGCAGCAGGGTGAGGCGGGGGGTGCGCTGGTGGCACAGCACAGTAAAGGAGGAGTGCTAGCAGTTGGATGAGGAGTCCATGGGCCACATTGGTGCAGCCTCCAGCAGCTCAGCAGTTAGATAGTCCTGCTTTAATCCATCGTTGTGATGTCACAAGATTGTCTGATGTTGCCACAGCACATTTTATCCTAATAGGCGAAGCCCCTGGATGAACTTCATGCACACATCAGAATGAGTTGCACACATCTGTTTGAAGACAGGGATCACTTCACCAAACCTTGTGGGTTCTGACCCCAGACGCTAAGCTGTTAGGAGCAAAGAGTAAAGGAACATCTATAGCATAGCCTAGAGGCATCTCTGGACTGATCATTTATGCTTCTCTTTTTCATACACTTCCCTGTGAATGCTCTCACACCTTTGCTGGCTGTAAAGATTGATAGCTGGGTACAAACAGAAAGAGCAAAGCCCAGGGGATAAAGAACATAAAAAGCCTTTTACAACACTGAGGAAGGACGTGGCATCTCTTAAGTTTATTCTTCACTAACTTTTCTTCAGGGAAACATGGATTCCAAGCCCATGACAGCCTGACCTAACAGCCTTGTGTTTGCTAAATAATTCAGCCATCACTGCTGCTTCCAGTTCTTACTTAAATCTCCCTTTATGGATTTTTTTAACTATGTTATTATTCTTTCCAAAAACTTACTTTGAAAAAAAAATGGCTCCAGCCTTGCTACAAAGGAGCAAGATGGCCTGATCAATAAATCAGGGAATCTGTTTGTGCTCACCCACTCCATCCAGGCGTCATGGATTTTTGTTCAGGGATGAAGGAAGATTGATGATTTCATTTCCAAAGCAGCCAATTTCCTATGGTCAGCCATAAAAAGGCTCACAGAGTAGCAATCAGAGAACAAATAATGTGTGGCATGTAAAGAGAGCTTCCCTTCTGCAGAGATGGGCTTTTTACCCCCTACTCCTTCTAGCACACCTGCAAAGATGTATTATGACCTCATTCTACAAATGGGGAAACTGGACCAGAAGAAAAAGTGACTTGACCAAGGTTACACAGTGAGCAAATGGCAGACACTTGTAAATGTGGCATAACAATATGGAATTAATGAGAAAACCAAAAGGGCTTGCTGGGAATACTACAAGCCAAATCCTGTTCACCTCCATGCACCTACATGCTGATTATGTGTGCAAATGTAGCTAAGTGTTAACTATGGTACTGATGCAACTTTTACATCCTGTTTCCTTCTGAATAGCTGCACATACCCTACTGAGCATGCCCAGAAGGCTCCACTGTGGCAATATAGAAGCCCCTAGATAGGCATGTAACTGTGTGTAAGTTCCGGAAAATGTGGTCAGAGAAAAACCATAACTAGCAACTGTTTGATGTTGTCCCATCATGTAGCCAAATAGCCTAGTGGTCATGGCACTTGTGCAAAGAGTGGAGGTAACTCACTTCTATGCCTCTCTCACCCATCTGCACTTCCCAGCAAAATGCTTTAACAGATAAGCATGCAATTACATAGCTACCCAGGTGATCTTATTCCAGCACAGAATATAAATGAGCATAGAGAAGCCTTCTCAGCATGGTCAACAGGGCAAGCACAGCCGTGCAGGTAGAAATAGAATCTAAATCGAAATAGAGTATGAGGAAGTATCAGAAATTGTTGTGTGGCTCTAAATTCAGCAATGGAGCTGAAAAGGATGGAGGTCTTGATGACAGGACATGTTGGTTCAGTTGAGAGAAGAGGGGGGAGCAGAGGAGAGGAGGAAACCAAATGTTCCAGAACAGCTGGAATGGGAACAGATCAGAATTTATTCTGAGACCACAAAGGAGAGGCAAAAGGGAAGAGGGTCCTTTCTTTAGGTTCTCTGAAAGGTTTTAACGTAGCTGGTTAGAAATTAGCAAGCCTGTTACATATCTTCTCAGCAAATTAGTCTGTAGTCTTGAGGCAGGGCCCAGACTAGTCTGAATTCAAATCTTAGGTAAGGCTGGAAGGGACCTCTGCAGGTCATCTAACCCAACCCCCTGCTCAAGGCAGGATCATTGCTATCCAAACCATCCCATACAAGTTTTCAACCTGTTCCTAAAATTGTACAATCAACCCTGCTGCACAACTACAAGGCCGATTGCCCAAGGACACTGAAAGCACCCTAACCTGCCACAGGTAAAGCAGAGGGATGACGACTGTCAGTTTCTCCATCTCTGTCAGGCTTGTGGTAGGATTGTAGTGCATAAAGATGGGTGGCTGGCACTTGTTTCAGTGTATAATAACAGGCAACCAGGGAATAGAAAACTCAGGGAGCCAATAAACTTCTATGCAGTGAGCAGTCTAGTTCTCCCAGAGTTGATAAGCATCGAGATGCAGAAGCTCACTAAGTCCATTGTACTGATCAGGCTTTTAGAGCTTGCCCCTGAACTTTCTTTCCTCTGCAAGCATCTGGTCTGTTCAGTGCATGTGTCATGCTTCTGTTGCACAGAGTACAGGTACTCAGTGCCAAAACATGATGTATTGGTCTAGCTTGCTGGATGGATGTGAAGGGTTTTAGCTGGAAACCACTATCCAGCAGTATTCCTGAATGGAGCAGACACAGGTGAGAGCCAGGGACATGGAGGGGAGCAGCGCCAGCTAACCACCAGCCTAACTTCTCCAGGTGTTAAATATTTTGCAGGGTAATGAGGAGCATGAAGAAATTTGTCCCACCACAGCCGTTTCATCTTGCCCTCACTCATTGTCCCTCTTAGTTGGATTCACACTTTGCAATCAATAAAAAGCACATCTTCAATGTTTTCCAGCCACAGGAGACTTTGGCACGGCAGTTGGTTTGAATTGATGTTGCTGAGATGCAATGTGTGTGGACCACATCAATAATAAACCCTTTCAAATTATCATTCACCTCCCTTCCAGCCCACTAGACAGCCTCAGATTTGGTGTCTGAGCCACTAACTTTTTTTTATAGCTCAAGGCCAGATTTATTTCTCAGTATCCCTTTCACTCTATGCTGAGAGCTTCCTCTTGTCACTTCCATTTCTGTCTTTTCACATCAGGATGTTGCATGCAGAATTTATTAGGCTCAGTTGTCAAGCAGGGTAGTAGTGGTGGCTGGTGACAACTAGGGCACTGAGAATCAGGACTCCTGGGACTTCTGCTTCTTATTATTGGTTAGAGTAGAGGCATGGGAGTCAGAAAGCCTCGGTTCTTATCTCAAGTGTACTATTGACCTGTTAGGCAACCTTTTACAAACCCTATGCTCTCCTATCTTAACATGATGGTCCTTTTCCTGGATCTGGAGGGTTTCAAAATCAGAAGGGTCTACTGTGCTTCTCCAATTCGACCTGCACTATGAGGCAAACCATAAAATCCCTGGAATTTGCTCTCATCTTTACTACAGATTGACTGTGTGAGCCTATTACTCTGCAACCCTGAGTCAGTCCCCTCCCACTCTCCACCTCAGTTTCCCATCTGTAAAACAGGGGTTCATGATACCAACTACCCCTTCCCCCTGGGCAGTTGAGAAGCCTAATTAATTGATGTCTGGACAGTTCTTTTAGCCATTTGGCTAGAAAGTACCCTGCAGTATTATGCTGATGGGAGACTGAAAGTTGACATGAGTTCTTTCCAAGTCCTTCAGAGGCTGTGGTCCAGCCACACAGTTAGTAAACTTCCTCTCTGCTCTTCACTGTGTCCCCAGGTTCGCTCCGCTGTACGGAAGAGGTGGCATCGGTGGCAGGACAAGCACTCCATCCGCGCCCGTGTGGCCAGAGCCATGTCCATCCCCACATCCCCAACACGTGTTAGCTTCCACAGCATCAAGCAGTCAACAGCCCTCTGAGACAGGAGGAAGTTATCACCCACAAGGGAGGCAGAGGCTTGCCATAGCTTCTCCTCTGCCACTTGCACTTCAGATTGAGTGTGGTGTGTTAGCGGACCTTACAGGACAGCAGGAGGCTCCAAGCTTGTGAGCCATGGCTCAGCAGAGCCCACTGGAGGAGTGTGATGCTCCAAAGAAATCCTCTGCTAAACTCTCCAGTGGTTGACCTGGGAGACGAGACATCAGAGCAGCTTCTGCTTATTCTGACTGGCCAGTGGGAGGCCAACGCATCCATGTCTGTGGGTTTGGGCAGTATCCAGTGGCTCTGAAACAAGAAGGCAGCTGAAGGCATCAGCCTATTTTGGGGTCCATACTTTCCCCAGGCCTGTGGAGTGACAGTGATTCCCAGACTGGTGACTGCCTTACTGAAGGTATGGAAGGGTCCAGCAGATGCCACACTGCACTGCATCACTCCCACTGCTGGGGGACTTGAGACACCTTATGAGTACAGGAAGAGCCCTGATCCAGAACCTGGGTCTTGATGTGCCATGGTCTGAGATCTTTCCTTCCTCCATGTTTGCACACACTGCACTGCCCCCTCTCAGATCTCAAGTCCTGCATACCAAAGTGCTGTAAAAGCCCTGTCTGCAGCACATGCTAAGTGCATCATATGGGGTTGGGTGACCCCATCAGAAGCCACTGCGTGCCCGTGGCATTGCTAACCGTGCAACATTAGGGAAGTTGGTACATTTTACCTCCTCAATATTGTCAACACAAATGCCCTGGAGAACCTCTGCAGGCCCTGGCAACAGGTACATCACTCTAGGGTGCTTTAACCTCTAGTCAGGAACTGCCACTTGGGACAGGAATAGAGTTTGCTTAGTGCCATTTCAGTGTTGCACTTTATACAGCACTAAAGTTACTGATGCTCCCACACCCACCCTGCTTCTGCCTCCATTGAGCAGGATGCCTGTGGGCCACATGCCAGCACCTGCCGTGCTGCCTGTTCCAGTGCCAGGGCATGATGCCATGAGGCATGATGCTTGCTAAGCTCGCAGGGCAGCCACTCCTGGTTTGGAGAGCTGATACTAGGACTCCTACACCACTGCTTAAATTGCCCATTTTGGGGTGAAAGTTGCTTGTTCAGTCTCAAGCACAAAGAGGTATGGGACCAGTCCCTCACAGCAGCAGTGTTGAGTTACTTGTACTCAGGTTCACATCTCCTGAGTTAGCCTCTCTCAAGTGAGTGTGGTCACACTTTGGAATAAGACTAGTGATTGTAGTAGCGGTACTGGGTGGTCAGGATTGCAGCTCATGTGTTGTGGTAACTCCAGCTGCAGGCCCTTACTCTCAGGACAAGTATAAAGCATCAGTGCACTGAGATGAATGGGGGGCTTGTTTGTGGTCAGGACTTTAGCTGGGAGCAATATTCATGTTATAACTGGAGTTAACTCTGAAGTGAAGGCAAGACCTGAGAGAACCAGAGTGCAAAGAAGTATGGAGAGTGGTCACAACAAGCTGCTGCTGCAGGAAAGCCATAGACATGAAGCGGGCAGGGAGATCAGATCCTAGCAATGGGAGCAGGTTGTTGTAACTCAGTACACGTGTCCTCTATAACCTCTGTCAGCTGCAAGCAGGAGAGGCAGAATGGAGGTAACTGAAAGGGAAAAGGATTGTTTAGCCCAGAGCTGAAGACATGGCACAACAGGGGGTGAATTGGGCAGAGCTAGCCATGAACAGATCTGGCCAGGGTTAACACTGATTCTAGGGCAGAGGGTGCAAGACTCCCTAACTGTCTTGGGGGAGCCCCTGTCCCCTTAACCCCTTGCTCACACATGTGATGAAGCACCTTAGTTTTTCTGTCATTAGACAACACAGATTTTAGATACCATATTTTTCACACACATAACATGCACCCTTTTTCCCAAAACTCAGCTGCTGAAAATAGTGATAAGTGCTTTAAGTGAGGGATGAAATACAGTAATAGCAGCTTCTGCAGCTTGAGCCTCTGCTGGGAGAAAGAGAAAAAGACACTTCACATGATGCACAGGGGACCAGCACAGTGAGTACATAGAGCTTTCTAGCAGCTGAATGTGGACCCCTTCTCTTCCACCCTCTCCTTCCTGCCCCAATAGAGGCTTGTGCTTCAGAATCTGGCTGCCTACCCAAGTAGTATAAGGCTATGTACCCAGCTCAGTTCAAGAAAATAGGGCAGTTTGGTGGTTTGACTGTAGTTGCCTGTTTTCCCTGGAAAAGTACTGTATTTCTCTGTATTTTTTTAAAAAGATTGTTTTTTCCCATAACTCTGCCTTTCAAAAACAAGCAGGTCTTATTCAAGAGTGTGTTGCATGTGAGGAAATGAGGTATTCCTAAATAAAAACTTGTCCAAATGTGTTGCATGTGGTATGGGCCAAAGTTCCCCATGAAAGATGTCCAGATGCCATAAGGAATAAAGGCTGAACTACCCTCTGGTGTCTAGTAACCTCCTTAAGGCTTCCAGGTAATTTGTGTGGCCTCTTGCTCTTGCAAGGAAAAATCCCAGAAGTGTGTACAGTTGAGGTAGTGATGGCAAACATAGCTTGGCATGGTTTGGTATGTTCTGGACACTGCTACTTTATTGCCTGGTTACTTCCTGCCATTTATTTGTCAAATATGTAAATTAGGATAGTGCATCATTTACATGAAGCCTGCACACTTGCACATCTTTGGCCTTGCTAGTGAACCTCTCTTGTTAGTCACACAATATGGCAAACGTTTTCAGATTTGTTGTGTAGCTTGAGCTGAGAGCCACATAACAGACAACAGAGGGACATAGATTGGCAGGGGATGTCCACAGCTTCTTATCTGCAAATGAATTGCAGTTGATTTACAAAAAAAATTCAGTGGCTGAAAAGTGAAATCGGCCAGGTTCAGAACAGTGATATGGTGTGTTTTTAAAAGGGGAGTTATTAACTGCTACAGCAGGCAGACATGGCAAATTTACCATCATTACTGCCCTTTCAGACAAGCTTTGATGTCTCAGTGCAAGAATCATAGGATGAAGATCTCGGGTCTGGGTTCTGCAGGCTAAGATCAGACTGCAGGTCCCTTCAAGCCTTAACGCTGATGACTCTACAAGACTGTCATTCAAAGAAGGACTGCCATGGCCCTCTACCTGGGACCTCTTGAGTATATATTAACAACATTTTATACGAGCAGGACATTGGCTGCCGTGTTTCCCCTGCTTTACCTGTGGCAGGTTAGAACATTAGGTCTATGTTATGTCAGGGTTGAGGGTAGTCTTATGTAAATTTTAGATTATGGTTGTATGGCATGGTTTGGATAAGGTTGATCCTGCATCAGGCAAGGGGTTGGACTAGATGACCTCTGGAGGTCCCTTCCAGCCCTACTCCTCATGACTCTAGGTTGGTGCCCATATGGAGGTTAGGGTATTAGCTCCCATACCATATCAGTTTCAATGGGAATTAGGGACCTAGATACCTCTGGGGGCCTGAATCAAAGTACTTGTCCAGTCTCCAAGACCCACAGAAGCAGAAGACCTTGCTGATGCTTTGCTAGGCTTGTTTGTCCCAGGTGTCATAGAGAAGTAGGGCTGCCTAGAAAATTCCCCTCATCTCTCCACTGTGATGTTGTTTTGAGTTATCCCTGTTCCCAGAGCAGGCCTGATACATTGGTTTGTGACAGTTCAATGTGGCCATAAGCCAAAATGTTATAAGGCAAGGTGTTTCCAGGGAGGATGGCCCATAGAAGGGAACATTTGTCAGCTGGAATGGAGTAGATTTGGGGGAGGTTTGTAGGTCCCACTCAGCCTTACCCCTCCCCTGACTGTCAACTGATCAAAAGGTAGATGTGGAAGGGTCTCATATGAGATTCCTTAATGCAGGATACTCACTACTAAGAGTAGCTATCCTTAAAAAAAGGCATCAAAAAACAACTTTAATATGAAATTTCAGAACCACAAATCATCCATTGACTGGAATGTGTTAACCTTAGTCTCAATTGGGGCTATAGATTCTTATCCCATTACCTGAACAGTGGTGCCCCTCCAGGTGTTAACTGCCTCAATTGATCTCAGTTGATCTAATTAAGTCAGTTATTACCTGTGTTAGCAGCATCCCCTCCCCCTGTTCCTTTCCCTTCTATATAAAATCTTTTCTTTCTGCACTCCATTCATAGCATCTGACAAAGTAAGGTGTTACCTACAAAAACTCACACCATCTTGCCCAACCTTCTGCTCAGCATAGGGTGAAACCCTGACACTTTTGAAATCAAGAGGAATGTTGCCAATGGCACCACTGGTGGAGCCTGTGGATCCAGGATCGTTTTAATGGGGAGTATGGGAGATGCAGGGGTGGTTGCACCATTACTTCTAGCCTCCCTCCCTTCACCAGGATGAACAGACCATGCCACAAGGATCAGCAGCTGGAGACTTTTTTTAAATCCCAGAAGCAGGTAAGAATTCCTCTTTCCCTTCCCATCCATGCTTAACAGCATGTATCCTCCCTTCCCATTTCCCCCCTCCCCTGCCCACTGTTGCCACTGTTTGTGGCTGATCCAGGGAAGGGGGAATGCTCCAGAGCTACCTCCCTCACTCCCACTGGGCTGTGTGAGAAGCTGAGCTCAACCAGAGACCGGAACAATGGTGAGTAGGAAACGGGGAAAATATGATGGCAAGGAACATGTTGCTGAGCAGAGGGGAAGGGAAAACAGGAATTCTTACCTTCTTTTGGGACTTAAAAAAAAGAGTCCCTGGCTGTTGTTCCCACCAAATGGTCTAAAGTGAGGATGCAGCCATGCCAATGGACCTCCTCTGAATCTAGCCATGGTGGTATGCTAGCATGCACAGCCTTTTCTTTGTGAGTGAGCAAACTGTTCTCACAGGAGGAGGGATGGTATAATGCTTAAAGCACTTGTAGAACTTCCTTTGCAGAAAACAATTCACTCCCAGCCAGGGGTTGATCTGGGGTGGGCCTCGGCAGTCACCACTGCCACCTCCCTTCCCTCCCCCTGCCTTTTGATTCTTGCTCTGTTCAAAGTTTAAAGCAAACTGCCCACAGGAAAAACTGCATTTCTATTCAGATAAGCTAAGAGAGTCAATTGATTTTGTAACTCATTATTATCTACTTGGTTTCTGTTACTCTTTTCCACTAATCAAGCTCTCTTCTACAGTTATCCTGGTAATGTTTCTTTGCTCACCCCCAGTGTGTCCAGTAATGGCATGTCACTAACCAGGAGCTTGTTCCAGGTGGTTTTGTTCCTAGGGGATTCAAACCCACAACAAGCCAGGGATCAGGGCGGAGAGAGGCAGGGTTGAAGGGAAGCCCACCTGTCTGATGGCTTGGGCAAAAGGGTCCAAGGCAGGGGGAAGTTGCAAAAGCAAAGCAAAGAAGTTACTAAAGTCACCTGTTCCTGAGTTATGTATTGGAACAGATGACAGAGGCTGTGGGAGGCTGAACCAGCTGCACAACTGGGGTAACAAAGTTGGACATGGGCAGTTATAGCCCAGGATTGGGGGTTTTTGGCCCGGTGTGGGGGGGCTTGGGGGGGGGGGGGGGGCTTATTATTTAAGAGGGGTTCTGAGGGGAAGTGAGTCAAGGGCACCAAGGGACTTTTTGGGAGAGGAGTCTGGGGGCTAGAGGGGTTTGAGATGAAAGGCTGGAGTGTTATGGAGGTGGGGGGTGTGCGGAGAAGATGGAGTTTGGGACTTAGGGGTATGGTGGGGGTAGTAGGTGTGAAATGGAGTCTGAGGGGATTGAGAGCAAAAGGAATTGTGGGTATGGGGAGCCCAGGAGGTGTGAAGGACTGAAGTGAGTGTTGGATACTCAAAAGGGCAGGGGAGGGCTCAGTGGGGCACAAAGGGGATGGTGAGGGGTAGCGGGCTTGGGCATAATGAGAATGAGTCTGTCTGGAGTGTAGCAGGTTTATGGGAGAAGTGAGGAGGCAGGGTAGGACTCAGTGGGTCATGAGGGGGATGGTGGAGTCTGATGGGGCTTGGGACATGATGGGTGAGCATGGGGGGACATGTGGGATAATAGGGGACAGAGTGGAGCCAGGGAGCATTTGAAGCAGTAGAGGCAATACTTAAGGGGGGGACCCATGTGCTGGGTGCAGGGAGCAGTCCTGTCTGTGACCAGGTGCCGACTCTACTTTGGAGATGGCAGTCACTCCTCCCAACAACCCCCCCCCCCCCCGCCACCTTCCCTTTTCCTGTGTTTTGTGTC